ATTTAATTAATCCCGTTAATAATAATTAAATATGATTTAATTCGGTTAGGTTTCCCTTTAATTAATTAATAAGGCCCACCCTGAACCGTGGGCCCTTGCCTAAATTAGAGCCTTAAGCCTATTAGGAATAAAGAAAGTAAACATTTTACTATTCAGATTCTGATTACGAATCCTAGACCTAGTTATCTATTAGGAATAAAGGAAGTAGGTCTTTTACTCTTCAGATTATGATTAGGATTCTCTTTAATTAATTAATATGGTCCACTATGGACCATGGAACCCAATCCTTAGTCCCAAAAGGAATAGAATTAGCAAGCCTATAATATTAGTTCCTAATTAGGACTCCTAAATATATAAATAGGGGACTTAAGAGGCACCTAGAACCCCCCACCACAATAAACGACTCACCATCCCAAAAGAGCTCCAAGAATTCCCTTAGAAGAAATCAAGAAAGCAAGAAAGCTTAAAGAAAGACCCTTCATAGCCAAGGAATTAATTAAGGCTAAGAGGTAACCCATGTCTCAACAAAACCTATTTTCATAGTTATAATTCCCCCTTAGGGTTTCCCCATATTATGGTATATTGGCGAGTTATGATGATTATTATTGGTAATTGATGTAATGATCGCATGGGGGATCTTGATGATCTTGATATTGGGAGATTCTTGATAATTATGGTGTCCTTGATAATTATATGGAGTTCTTGATGATTATGTGTTGTTCCTGATAATTGTGTGATGTTCTTGATGCTTATGTGTTATTCTTACCGAATCTTGCAATTAGAAGACGAACCGTATTATTGTTGATATAAAAGTGATTAGAACCCTAGGTTGTATCGTATGATCTTATTCTTGGATTATCGGGTGGGGAAATCGGATGTTTGGGTGTTGATTATATTTAGAAAAGCATGATAGGTTATGTGCCGTTCGTTTCTTGTATTTGATTCGTTAATTGTCTACATGTTGTCGTTAATTTCGTTGTAAAGTGTCTAAGCATGGTTTCGGGTTCTACAACGGTTCCCGGGGCGTAAAGTGTGTGAAAAGAGTCAGTGGGGGGTAGGTGGGGGGTAGGGGACCCGCCACCTACCCACGGCCGTGAAACACCGCCCATCAGCGGGTTGCCTGTAACACCCCGTGTTACGGCCTTCAATCCCGGATTAATTATTAAATTAATCCCGTTAATAATAATTAAATATGATTTAATTCGGTTAGGTTTCCTTTAATTAATTAATAAAGGTCCACCATGAACCGTGGACCCTTGCCTAAATTAGAGTCCTAAGCCTATTAGGAATAAAGAAAGTAAACCCTTTACTATTCAGATTCTAATTAAGAATCCTAGACCTAGTTATCTATTAGGAATAAAGGAAGTAGGCCTTTTACTATTCAGAATACGATTAGGATTCCCTTTAATTAATTAATATGGTCCACTATGGACTATGAGCCCTTATCCCTAAACCCAATCCTTAGTTCCAAAAGGAATAGAATTAGCAAGCCTATAATATTAGATCCTAACCAGGACTCCTAAATATATAAATAGGGGACTTAAGAGGCACCTAGAACCCCCTACCACAATAAACGTTCCACCACCCGAAAGTGCTCCAAGAATCCCCTTAGAAGAAATCAAGAAAGCAAGAAAGCTTAAAGAAAGACCCTTCATAGCCAAGGAATTAATTAAGGCTAAGAGGTAACCCATGTCTCAACAAAACCTATTTTCATAGTTATGATTCCCCCTTAGGGTTTCCCCATATTATTGTGTATTAATGATTGGTGATGATTATTATTAATGATTGATATAATGAATCCATGAGGAATCTTGATAATCTTGATATTGGGAGATTCTTGATAATTATGGTGTTCTTGATAATTATATGGAGTTCTTGATGATTATGTGTTGTTCTTGATAATTGTGTGATGCTCTTGATGTTTATGTGTTATTCTTACCGAATCTTGCAATTAGAAGACGAACCGTATTCTTGTTGATATAAAAGTGATTAGAACCCTAGGTTGTATCGTATGATCTTATTCTTGGATTATCGGGTGGGGAAATCGCATGTTTGGGTGTTGATTATATTAGAAAAGCATGATAGGTTATGTGTCGTTCGTTTCTCGTATTTGATCCGTTAATTGTCTACGTGTTGTTATTACTTGCGTTGTAAAGTGTCTAAGCATGGTTTCGGGTTCCACAATGGTTTCCGGGGCGTAATTGTGTGTTAAGAGTCAGTGGGGGGTAGGGGACCCGCCACCTACCCACGGCCGAGAAGACGTCTCCGGCAGCGGGCAGCCGGCGGGCGGGCAGCTGCCCGCCGGCGACCCGCTGCCCGGAACAGTGAAACCGGCGGGCAGCCGGCTGGTGGCCCCCACCCACCGGCTACCCGCTGGAAAATCATCCCCCTTCGGGACCCCGGCTTCCCCGTTTGATGTTCCCCCGTTCCCCGTGGTGTCCCAACGGACTCCGTTTATCGTGCCTATGTCTAGTTTGATATTTCGGGTACCGTTCGTAGGTTTATGAGTCTATTATATTGCATGCTAGTTGAATTGGTATCCCGTTGACCTAGGTGGAAGAAGTATGAACCCCTTAGGACTATTCTTAGTAAGTGATGGATCACGCATAGGTTTTGTTATACGTTTTCTCCCCCTTCCTAATGTGTAATGTGGGTTGCATGTGCTTGCTATGTGTTATGTGTGTGTTACCCCAATTCGGTTGCGATCGGATTGGTTATCCTGAGCTGCGGTTCAGAAGCTGGCTGCGGTCAGATTGATACTCTTGGGCTGCGGTCCACCGTTTGGTTGCGATCAAACGTTTCTATACGAGCTGCGGTTCGTCCTTTTTCCTGGCTGCGGTCAGATGACATTCTCTTGGGATGCGGTCCACTGTTTGGTTGCGATCAAACCACTACAAGAAAAATCTCGATTTGCGACAGAATTTTTCCGTCGCGAAAACGAGAAATTCCGTCGCGAATCGCGTTTTGCAACAGAATTTTGCATTTTCGCGACGGAATTCATTCCGTAGTCTCCAGGCTTGTAGTATTCCATTCCGTGACGGAAATAATCCGTCACAAGCGGTGGCGACAGAAAACAGCAACGGAATTTTCCGTCGTGAAGTTGGCTACGAAAATCATTCCGTCGTGAGTCTGTCGCGATTTTGGCAACGGAAATCTTTCCTTCCGTCGCCATCGTGTGAGAAAATATTCCGTCGCGAAACTCATATTCCGTCGCACATCGTCGTGAAATATAACAACGAAAATAATTGTCATCGCGATTCCATCGCTAACCTTTCCGTTGTAAATTTTGTATTCCGTCACGAAATTCCGCTGTAACAAAACAACATAACAAACTGTCGTCGCAATTCCATCGCTAGATATTTTGTCACAAAATTTGTTTTCCATTCCGACATTTCGTCGTAATAAAGTAATAAAACTAATTACTGTCGCAATTTCATTACATTTTGGGCGACAATAATCTTCTCGTCACCAATTTCGTGGTCACAACGACAACGAATATTCTATTGCTAAAATCACATTTCATTGCTATTCTTCTAAATTATTAATTTTTTAATATTTCAGTAATTATTATTATTATGTTAAAATTCAAAGGTGAGTATATAAAATGTTAATATGCAATTATATTTATAAACAAAAGCACTATTAAAACTAAAATACAATATAATTTGTAATATAAAAGTAATAGTGCTTTATAATTCACAAATTTAATGGTGTACTTAATATGAAATTCATGTCTAAACAACAATATAATAATCCAATAATCCATAAAATATGAATATCAAGTCTAATCCACTTGTGATGAGGGTGATGATGAAGTACCAGCTCTCTCACATTCAAGAGATCCAATCTTTACTGAAGCATAGAAAAGCTATTGTGTTAGCATTAATTGGACCACAAATGATGCTACCATATTAGCCTATAAACTCTTCTTTTCTTATCATGCCCGCCAACCGCAACATAGTCCTAATTTAAAAAAAAAAAATGATTAAGACTCTTGGGAAGAAGTCAAGAAAACAACTTAACTATTCTATATGTAAAGATTATAAATTTACAAATTTACTTGAACCTAATCACTTTTTTATTAGTTATTTCCTTAAACAAGCTATAACAACTACGTTTTTCAAAAACAAAAATGCTATAACAACTACGATCTAATATGATATGAGAGGCTAAGAGATAAATCCTACAATATTTAACATTAGAAATGGAGAATTAGAATTATACGTTTCCCTATAAATCAATATCAATCATGCAAGGACATACATGCAGAACGTACAAACTATGTTGTGCAATCTGCAGTAGCAATCATAATCAATTTCAAGCATTCATGAGGAATATATATATATATATATATATATATATATATATATATATATATATATATATATATATATATATATATATATAGGGTTGCAAAAATTGCGCCTAGGCGCTAGGCTCTAGGAGGCCACCGCGAGGAATGGTCTCGGCGGCCTCCTAAGCGGCCAGCCGGTTTGGCAGTTCGGCGAATTTTTTTCTTTTTTTTTTTTTTTTTTTTTTTTTTTTTTTTTTTAATGTCGGAAAAGTTTCGGAAGGCATAACTTTTGACTCGGTTGCCCGATTTGGACAATTTTTTTTTTCAAATCGCGTATTTTTTCAAGATCTATACACCGCAAACAGCCAAAGGCGGTTTGGTCCACTAATTTCTCAAAAAATGCTTCTTTAGCTCTTAATTTTAGTTTTTTTTATTTATTTAGATGATTTAAACAATCTTTTAAACAATCTTACAACCACTTTTGTAAATAGTTTCTAAGAAATAACTATGAAAACCTTATGTTTTAGTACTAAATTTTGAAAATTTTTAATTTTAAAATTTTTTTTAATTAAAAAAAATAAAAAAAATAAAAACAAAATAAAAAATCGACGCCTAGGCGCCCTAGGCGCGGGCGCCCCCTTGGCGCCTAGGGGGCGCCTAACATTTTTTGCAACATTGTATATATACATATAATCAGCTCTTAAACAAAGATATATAGTAACTACCTGAACCTGAGCTATCCATATAAAACCTTCAGAATGCAACATTGACAAAACCATATATATACATTCCCATTACACATTCCAGTTCTGGTTACAATACAAATAGATATAGGAGTAGACACCTATTTCACATTTACACTAACAGATTAAATAATTAATTTTTTGGGACGGCAGTGTAATTCTCCTATTACACTAACAAATTAATTTTCTCAACAAGCAACAGAGAGACGACAAACGACGGCACATTCTGACAACGCCGGCAGAAATTCATGGCCACTGGACGATCGACATAATACACCAGAATAGCACAGACGAGAGAGAAACCTAAAAGAAAACAAAATAAACGGAGAAATGAGATGAGGGCGAGGGAACCTGTTCAGATCTGGGGAGACTCTACAGAGGCCTTCTCGGAGGCGATCGGAGAAGATGACTAGAGACTCTATGCAGCGGCTGACGGCTCACGGGGAAGGCGGCTGACGGCGACGGCGGCTGATGGTGACGGAGGCGTTGGCAAGTAGCGAAGACTGCGGCAACTTGGGTTCCTGTGGCGATTGATGAAGAGGGTTTTGGTTTAGGTTTAGGTCTGGCAGAAACTGTAAGATTTTTGGAAGGTTTTGGATTTAAGTTTGGGGGGAATTTGGATTTAAGTTTGGAGGGAATTTTTTAATATATATAATTGAAGTTATAAAATCAATTTTAATCAATTTGAATAATAAAATGATGTTATACAATATATAAGATTTTATGTTTTTTAACCTATGTTATATACCATATAATAAAAATAAAATATGAATATATATATAAATATATAAAATAAAATATTAAATCAAATCTTTTCAAAAACAAACGTTATATACCTTATTAAAATTCAATAAAAACATAAAAATATATAAACAAATATTTTGAAAAAAAATAACTTAGATGTATGCCTTATGATAATTTTTTTAAAAATACATATGTATATAATAATAAGTTTTTTTTAAAACACATATGTATATAAATTTTTTAAAAATATATTATATTTTATCTTAATCATATATACGATGTCGTTTTTTTTTTTTTTAAATTAAACCTAAGATGTGGGTTCTTTATGGAACCGAAGTTGCCGGTTTATTATTTCATGTTTTGTTAAATAATAATAATAATAATAATAATAATAATAATAATAACAATAACAATAACAATAACAATAACAATAACAATAACAATAACAATAACAATAACAATAACAATAACAATAACAATAACAATAACAATAACAATAACAATAACAATAACAATAACAATAACAATAACAATAACAATAACAATAACAATAACAACAACAACAACAATAATAATAATAATAATAATAATAATAATAATAATAATAATAATAATAATAATAATAATAATAACAATACGGTGGATTACAAAACCTGACATATTATATATATTTATATTTAAAATAATTTTAAAAATCCTACGATGATGGTTCCCTTTGCACGATTATATATATTGTTATCATGCATATATTGTGCGTTAAAAATTGATATCCAACACACAAATTAAAATATGTAAATATTTAGAATAATTTTTAAATGTTAAATAATTAATATAAAATAAAAAATGATTATTTTCGATATAATTAAAAAAAGTTTTTTAAACTTGTAGTAAAAAGTAGTAGTAAAGATGATTATTGTTGTACATAGTTATAATTGATAATAAAAATGACATTCTAACAATTTTTCATATTAAAATAATTTAAATCTTCTTAATGCAGTATTGATTAGACAGTAAAACTCAACTTAATATATGTTAAAAGTGAAATTACTCTAATAAGTTTACTGATGTTGTGAAATAATCCACATGTCCATAATATCTTGTCACATTTATTTTTTTATGCATGGTTTTTAATGCAACAAAATAAATGTTTCTAATTTTTTAATTTTGCGGTTCAAAAGTAGGTGTCATTTGTATAAAGTACAATTGTACTTGTCTCATTAATTGTCAAGAAATTTGAACAAGTCAAAAGGACAAATTGAAAAATTGGAAAATGTAAAATAATAGTTATGTTCAATTTTGGGAAGAAGACACTATTTCGTGACAAACTAAAAAGGAAAGTAAGACAAGTAAAATAGGATGGAGGGAGTAGTGACAAAAGAGTTATGCAATTTAGTTATAGCATATGAATTCATTGTCCGAGTATAATTATTTTGCTAGATCAAATTAAATTTCAGTTATATAATTATTTTATATATTTTGCCAAAAAGAGTCTCAATTTTTTATTTTTTGATGATTTCACAAATTGTAATTTAACTACCAACTTAATTTACTAAGGAATTCTTAAAATTTTGAAATTTTAAATACATTATTTTAATGATTTAATATATTTTATTATTTTTAGTAATTACCCATTTTAAATATCAATTCTTATTGTAATTTCAAATATTTATGTCCGTAACTTTATCTTAGCAAATCAATATAATTATTAAACAAATTTTTTATTTTTTGATGATTTCACAAATTGTAATTTAACTACCAACTTAATTTACTAAGGAATTCTTAAAATTTTGAAATTTTAAATACATTATTTTAATGATTTAATATATTTTATTATTTTTAGTAATTACCCATTTTAAATATCAATTCTTATTGTAATTTCAAATATTTATGTCCGTAACTTTATCTTAGCAAATCAATATAATTATTAAACAAAAAACTTTATAAATAAATAAACTTCATATTTCATTTTTACATATAAAATTTAATAAGATTAATAATTTTTAATAATTCATATGCAATTTCAATTTTAAATTAAATTTTGAAAATTTACTTCTTGTAAATTGTAATACCAAGTCTAAGTGCAAAATTCGACCATAAAAAAAATTATAAATTTTACTTAAAAATTAAATATTCTTGCGACGGAAAAAACGATCGTCGCATGTACCGTCGCCAAACTCAAAAGTCAAATATATCTTTGCGCAATCAAACCTTCGCAATAAAATTAATTTCCATTGTTGACTCCATCGCCGTAACACGACGGACATGTGGGGTGTCACTTTTTCTGTCGCCAATGTGTTAACATATTGGCGACTGAATCGATTCTGCTGTCTCATTCTGTAGCAAAAATAAACTTTACTTTAAAACATAAATAAATATTTTAGTGACGGAAAGAACAATCTTCGCAAATTCCGTCACTAACCTCAAACTTCAAATCTATCTTTGCGCCAAACATCGCAACAAAATTAATTTTATTTGCTGATTCCATCGCCATAGTGCGACACACATATGGGGCGTGGATTTTCTACAGCCAATATATTAACATATTGGCGACAGAATCGATTTCGTCATCTCATTCTGTAGCAAAAATAAAATTTACTTTAAAAATTAAATATTTTAGTGACGGAAAGAACGATCGTCGCAAGTTCCGTCGCCAACCTCAAACGTCAAATCTATCTTTGAGCCAAACATCGCAACAGAATTAATTTCTGTTGTCGATTTCATCACCATAGCGCGACAAGCATGTAGGGCGTCGTATTTTCTGTCGCCAATGTATCAACATATTGGCGACGGAATTGATTCTGCCATCCCATTTTGTAGCAAAACTAAATTTTACTTCAAATTTTAATTATTTTCGCGACAAAAAAAAAATCATCGCAATTTCCGTCGTCAGCTTCTGTCGTCAATCCATTGGTGCAAAGATTACATGAGAATATTTTCCACTTTGCCCAAAATATCGCAACAGAATTGATTATCGTCGCCGATTTTGTCGCAAAACGACGATGGAACCATCGGTCGTTGCCTTTTCCGTCGCCGTTGTGGTGACAGAACATAATTCTGTCGAAAATCCGTCATCAAAATATGGGCGCCAAAATTTCCAAGGTTTTTTTCTCACTTTGCGCCAAAAATCCTTACGGAAATGAATTCCGTCACCATTTCCGACGCAAAATCGTGACGGAACACATTCCGTAGAAAAAACCATCGCAAATCGACAACGGATTACATTCCGTCACGATGTTTCCGTCGCGATTCGTTATTTTTCTTGTAGTGAACACTATGATGAGCTGCGGTTCATCGGTCGGTTGCGATCGACCCCTCCGTGTTGCGATACGGAGCAGGGTGCTGCGGGGCCGTGTCAGAGCTATATGCGCTGACCCTCATGTATGGGCATGCAATTGGTCCTGTGGCGCCAACAAAGTGTGTTATGTCTTGTGACATGGACGAGTTGTGATTACGAGTGTCTTGGGGGATGTGATTATGGGATTTATATTGGGGATTGTTCATGTTGGGTTATGATCATTGATTATGCTTTGCCTTATCTGCCTTATCTGTTATGAACTGCATATGCTCGTTATAAGTGTTGCTTGCGTCTAGCCTTATCTGTCGAGTCATTCCCGGTTTTTAAAGCTAGAGTTCGTAGGATATATCTTCATGCTCAAAATGGTTTTCGTATATCTATATATATCTCTATATGTATTGTATTTCAACGCGTTGGAGTGGGTTACCAGCATCTCTCGCTGAACAGATATATTTGGCTCTCAGGCACAGAAGATTAAGTCACTGGAGTGCGCTAGAACTTAGAAGTAGATAGTTTCCCTTTTGGCCTGCGTGCCACATTTACGTATTTACGCTTTGAGGATATTAGTTAGTTAGCCTGTGCACTTGGGTTCTCTAGCCCAGGTGTGGCATAGCACCCCGAACGCTTGTATTTATATCTTGGGATTTAATAAGATTCTACCTTTATTATAAGTTTTAAATGTCTTGAAAATCTAGGGTGTTACAGTTGGTATCAGAACTTAAGTTTGACCCTAGGATAAGACTCTTAAGACCGGACTTTAGGACACTAGGCTTGAACTCTAGGTACTTAGGAACATAGGATCCAGGAATCTTAGGACGCGCAGTGAGATTATGAAACCTACACATAACCTCCCCTCACTTCATCCCTCTCTAACTCAAAGGAACCTCCCCCTACGCTTACCACACCAGGTAAGGGCGCGAATAGATAAGTTTACTTCCACAACTGGGTAACGTACACTTACCCGATAAATCGCCTCGTCCTAACTCCCGTCAAAAGACTTGACAAGGA